TATATATATATATAGACTACATCTTGATACAATATTTCAATGAATTACATGCATAATGTATATATATGCATTTCTATATGTACATACTGTACTGTACATATAGTTAGTGTTTTGTTAAATTGTAATCTTTAAATTAATTTTATTACTTTAAGTGTATTTTGACTACATGTTGATACAGCATTTTGATGTTTTGTTATGTCGACCCACTACAATCTTTAATCAGTGTTCCTGATATTGATTAACATATCAGCCTTCGTGGAAAATTCCCTCACGAAACACCACTGAGAAACTGGTGGATGTTTTAGAAAGCTCAACACTAAACGTCTCAGATGAATTTACCTGAAACATCCCGATAAAGACAACAGATGCACATCCGTTCTGTGAATCCCTTGCAGACCGTGTGCAGTATGAGCAAACGAACATGCGGTTTTATCACGGCACCAGAGAAAGTATCTTTATCTGTGCTATCACTGTCTGTTACTGCTATACAAAAGTGCACGAGTGGAAGGCCACTCCAGGGTCAATTCCAACAGCAGCAAAAATTGCATGCTCTGACCTTCCCATACATTGAACAATTCTCTGCCAGCCATTGTCACGTACAAATCCCTCATACTGCCAGATTCAATCCACCTAGATCATAATCTGTCCACCCCAATTGGCTCCAGCAGGAGATTCTGTCTCCTAATAACACAATCCACCACATTCAAAATCAGCTTTTATTCCCCGGGTGACAAACAAAGAACTGACCGCCTTAAGCACTTGCTTAATATGATTATCTTTCCTCTAATACATTGGACTAATAGGCTTTGTGGCTATAATTTTCACACTCCCCTGCTCATTATAATACAGCAAATGCCACTCCATTTGTATTTATTCCACCATATGTGGCTGTTTATTGGATTGGATAACTGTGTTGATACCATGTAATGTTCTATTTTGTATTTGTCGCAATGCATCATATTATCCCGTTTTAACTAGGCTTGCCGCGATAGACGGTGCTGACGGTGATACCGGTGTTAAGCCGCAACACCGGTTACGTCACTTGCCCACCGCGTCACCGACCCCCACCGTCGTTTTGATTTTTTATAGCAATAAAAATCATTTAGTTCAGTAAAAGAACAGACACTACAATTAAAAACTGAACGTGGCTGCTCAATGCAGCGTGCCGAACGACGGTCGCATCACAGATCAGATTTAATTTATCCAGTGAGGAGAGCGAGTCGAGCTGACTGACAAGAAGAGTGAGGTGAGGTGAGACAGACAAGACGATGGCGGATGATTTAGTTTCGAAACGAGATGCAAAAGCGCCTGTTTGGCAATATTTTGGATTTTGAAAAGCCTGTTGACTTTAGATTTTTATCTAAGGTGATTTTGGAAGTTTTTTTAAACATTCGTTTCTTTTAAACTTTTAAGCTATTTAAAAGCGAAGGAAAGCGAGGAAAAGAGGGAAAATTCAAACGAACTAAAAACGAACAATTGCTTTACTCCGAATTGCCGCTAATTCAAAAGTGAAAGTAAAATGCGCACGGCACTTTTAAGCTATTTAAAAGCGAAGGAAAGCGAGGAAAAGAGGGAAAATTCAAACGAACTAAAAACGAACAATTGCTTTACTCCGAATTGCCGCTAATTCAAAAGTGAAAGTAAAATGCGCACGGCACTTTTAAGCTATTTAAAAGCGAAGGAAAGCGAGGAAAAGAGGGAACGCCCCGCCCCCGCGTTGATACCGGTATTACCAGTGTTGTCACACGCCGATTAACCGGTGGGAAAATTTCCTCACCGACACAACCCTAGTTTTAACGCCACTCTGTTTCAAGGCCTTTGACTCAACAATACATAAATGCATTGAATTATTATTGCAAAATATTAAAGTGGTATTCTTTTTTTTTTAAAGCACACCTTTCATGCAAAAATAAGCTTGTTTGCTAGAAAATAAAACTAAGTACTTTTAATTTAAAAATAAATTAATATAAATTAATTTTAAAACATTAATATACTGTATATATATATATATTTTTTTTTTTTTTTTTTGGTATATGCTATACCTAAATAAATAAATAAATGTTTTTGGTCATAAATAATATATGAAGAGTTCAGATGCAAAAGCCTCTACGTGCCATCTGAAATTTTTTTCTAAAATGAGCATTTTTATCAGGCTCCTATATTTATGTTCAGTTATTTCACTTTAATTGCATAGAAAAGCATCTTTACATTGCCATTATAGTAAAAATACAGAACCTACACATAGAAGCCTTATAAAAATGCTCATTTTAGATGCAAATTTCAAACGGCACTTAGAGACTTTTGCATCTGAACTCTTCATATAAATAATGTTACATAAAAATGCCATGCCTTGCACCACACACACATGCTCTATAGACAAGTTGAGCTGTGGTCCTTGTGGGAGATCCAGGTCTGCCTCCTGTTCCCGTTCCCACTACTTCCCTGTCGCCTCTCTACTGCCCGTGTCAATAAAAATAGCACAAACCACCAAAAATAAAAGCTGTGAAAACTGCTGACTCTTGAACACAACTGGTCAAGCAACATCACTGACTATGTCCATTGCTCTGGTGAGAGTTACATTGTGCTGCAGAAAGAAAGTGGCACTTTGAAATTGTAATAAAATCTTGTCCTGCTCTCCCTTGCAAGTGCTGAACACAATTTGCATGCTGCACTTTTCCATTGAGAAATTTAACAAGATGCGTGTTTTTGCATTTAAATATACAGTGTGCAAAAAGCTGTTTAATGAACTTAAATTAGTCGACAATGTCCACATATTTTTAAGATATTTGAGCACAGCGTCTCCTGTTTCATTCAGGTTGACTAAAAATGGGTTTAATCTCAAAAGCGAAGAAGAAATGTCAAACACAAGATAAATACCAAAAGGTGTGTCTATAGTCTTGAATTAAATAAAAGTGGCATTTGCAAAATGTCAACAGATCTGACCCAAAGCCAATTAGATTGTTTACTCCCATACCTCATCTTAAAAATCATTCCTTATTGTTGAAGGTGAGAGGGAAGAGACACATTGGGGATCATCCGAATGATGTCAGAGGTTAAACCAAATAACATTCGCTCCATCACACTGAAAAAAACGATCCATGACAGTTTGATATACAGACGCCATCTAGGAGAGCCATTGATGGCCTATAATTATACAACTACTCTTAGAGCGAGACCCTCGCCCGTGGGACTCCATATATCAGGATTCATACGCCCCCAAATAGCCCCACAATCCTGTGATGGATATCCAGCACAGATAACAGCAGAGAAGGGAAAACCATATATCTGCAGGGACTTTATAGCTTTCACATCCATCTACTGTCAATGTGCTACAACCAAGGCCAGAAGACTTTATTATGCATACAGGAGGGATTGACGAGAAATAAGGTATGGTTGAAAGGATAGGGTTGAAATTCTGATAGCATTTCCAGCCACAATAAACACTGAAACACCACAACTATGGAAAGTGAAGGGGTTTTAAAGGATTTTTTTTAAATTCGAGCCACAGCTGATTGATTTAAACCAATTTTTTTTCCTGGATCAAACATAAAATAGCATAAGTACTATTGTGAGAGAAAATAAATGGCTTTGAGAAGAGAATAAGCAGGGTTTTGTCATTAATACGGCTGAGAAAGCACATGAGCATCACGACATAATGAAACGGGAAGTGTTTAAGAGTCATCGCAGCATACATATTAAGCTAGGTATCCAGTGTTTTATCCCATACACACACAATGGCTATGTTCAGTCATGCAGTTACAGCTTTCATTACAGAACAGCAGGCTTCCAGGTTTTTGGAGAAGTGTTTAATTGGCAGCACCGTGTTTGACAAGCATCCCGAAGAAATGATCACGACATAATGAAACGGGAAGTGTTTAAGAGTCATCGCAGCATACATATTAAGCTAGGGGACACGCTAGGTATCCAGTGTTTTATCCCATACACACACAATGGCTATGTTCAGTCATGCAGTTACAGCTTTCATTACAGAACAGCAGGCTTCCAGGTTTTTGGAGAAGTGTTTAATTGGCAGCACCGTGTTTGACAAGCATCCCGAAGAAATGAATTTCGGCCCACATGTTTGGACTTTCCATCCCCATTGTGTCCAGCACACGATTGGTAAACATCTCTCACATTGTCTTTGTTTGGCTGCATTGAATTGCTGTGCGCGCCGATCGGGAATTGCTGGACAGAAAGCAGACAACGGCTGGGCACGACTTCGCAGATTCTCCAAAAATTAACTCTAGAGATAAAGTATCTGGGGTTCCTCCACATCTACACTTCATCCTGATGAACAGCTACCCAGGCTGTCAGCAAGTCTGTTCAATTTGCAAATCCTAATAGCTACTACAACTTAAGCAGCTTGACACATTTGAGAGGAAAATGAATTGATAAATCTCTATTTAACTTCAGGTTGCTGCTATCATCCTGTGCTGAGATGAAGTCTGCAAGTTGTAATGGCCACTGCTCATTTTTTCGGCTCTACAGGATGGCAAATGTTTCTTACAGCTTTCAAAATCCTCAATCCCTCCAGCACTTTATAGTAAAATGCCTGTAAGTCAAAAAGCCGACAAGCAAATCAATTACCTGCTCTGAAGAACCAGTCAGATGTTTTAGCCTGCAGTTTCCAGGGTTAAAAATAAAGTAGCAGCTTAAAGAAACAGACTGTTCACTCAAGAACGGATATTCTGTCATTCTTTACTCACCTTCAAGACGTTACAAACCCGAATGAGAAGGAAAAGACATGTTTGGCAGGATGTTCATGCTATTCTCTCCCATACAATGACAGTCAATGGTGACCAGGGGCTGTCAAGCTCCAGAAATGACAAGACGGCAACATAAAAATTCATGAAGCATCATAAAAACAGCAGTCCATACATACCGTGCACTATATTCCAAGTCAGAAGGCATATGATCAATTCTCTATAATCTGCTCTCATTTGTGTAATGTGAATATGAGAACATCCAAATTGGGCATGTCACAAATAAGGTAAAAGACACAGAAAAACCAAAGTCTTTTTGCAAACCTTTGAATGAGTGAATCAGATCTGAGATTCAAGACTTGAGGCTCGTTCACACCAAAAAATTATAATATATTAGTGTCCACACCAATGAACAATTACATTTAGTTATTATAAGCGCAAACTGCAGTGATGTCGTCTGCCGCTTTAAATGCTCGACCTCTTTAAATTCAGCTGCATTCTGATTGGCTGATTGTCAACATTTTTATCAGCTGGACAATCAACAATATCGTTCGTCTCTTTCATTGTCATTATAGCTGTGGTATGGACATACACTCTAAAAAATAAAGCTTCCAAAAGGTGGTTTTCACAGTGAAGAACCATTTTGGGTTTCCCAAAGAACCATTATTTTCAAAGCACAAAGAACACATAACCATCTGAGGAACATTTTTCCACTTGTACAATGGAAATGTTCTTCAAAGGTTCTTCATGGAACCACAGATGACAATAAAGAACCTTTACTTTCAAGAGTGAACCTATTCTCATAGAATTAGAATGTTTATTAAAACATATAGTCATCATTATTGGTGTGAACAGCCCTGTAGATTGTAGTGCATGATATGTGTGGGCTCTTTTTAAGGTCCTTTTGGTGACATTCACTTTAATTGTACACAAAATGGCTTCCAAACATCTCTTTTTAGGTTCCACCAAAAAAAAAAAAAGAATATCATACGATTTTGGAAAGACATGAAGGTTGGTAAATAACGACAGAAAGAGAGTTTTAAAAATCACTGCAGCTGTTTTGTTCCAGAGTGTGATCGTGTGTGTGTCTGCAGGAGTAGACCTTAAAGAATAACGGGTGGGCCGACAATGAAAAATCTCCAGGAACAAGGAGCTAATGAGTCCATCTGACCATACCATACAATAATGTTACTG